CTAGTAGCTTCTTGCTCCTAGTAGCGATGCCCTTTGTTCCTAGTAGCGTCTTGCTCCTAGTAGCGATGCCCTTTGTTCCTAGTAGCTTCTTGTTCCTAGTAGGGTCCAAATCCCAGCCACAAGCCAAGTCCGAATCCGAATTCACTCGGATCAAATCCCCACCAAACATGAGCAAAACCGTCGCGGACGAGGAGCAGGTTCATCTTTCTTGACCCAAGAAAAAGGAGAAAAAATAAGGGACACCTGCAGCCAACACCCAAGACTCCCGTCAAATGCTGGGCATTCCGAACCCATACCCCCTTCCAGGCGCTTGATGAAGCCTTGGTGAGGCAGTTTGACTTTCTGAAGCGAAGGCTTCCCCAATCGCCACAAGGAACGCCTCCACGGGCAAACCGCCCAGCTTGAAACTATGCCAAAGGCTGTGATCATTCTTGGTGATGTTGGAGGCCCGTTTAGGACCCATCCTTCATCTTTCCTTGTCTTTACAGCGCACTCTTGACACACAAATCAGCTGGTACAGTGCTGAAACCATGTCTTCACCGGTGCTTTTGCTTGTCCTGAAAAGGGAAGTAACGCTCACGTTGGTTTCCCAAAACCCTATCAACTGTTGGGTGGTCACTCAAACCATCCCTCAAAATATTTGTCGATTGTATTACAGTATTCTTCCCAGGGAATGGGAAAAGTAAACAGTACAGAGGACCACCCAGACTGGATTAAAATCAATTCAGTCTAGCGACCAAACCCCACAAAAACTGCCTACGGACTCATCCCACAAACATATCGTCCAACCATGGGCCATGTGTACCATTGGGGATGTCTGGAGTGCCAACCATGGCCTTCTATGGAGGACCATACTTCATGAATTGGCTACTTGAGGAAGGTGCTTGTAGCAAGTCCCGAAGAGTTTCCAGGAGTTTCCTTCTTGTCCCTGTACCATGACGTCTTGAGCACCCGACCGTGGCTGGGCTTCTCACTGTCATCGATCCTAAGGGCATTGCTTAAGGCAAATTCAGGAGCTGAGTAGAAGCAAACTCAGGCTGTTCGATCTTGATTCTTCCGATGTTTGCTGCTTACCTGAAAGCTTTAGGAATACTATATTACTGTATACTGTATACTCTTCAACCTATTGTTCTAGGGAGAGCTCTCCTGCACATGGTGGGGAGGGAGGAGAGGCCACAGAAACCTGGGCAGTGGGTGTCGTGCTAGATTCTGGAACAGCTATCCAGTCATCATGAAGTCAAATCGGTCCTCTTACCTGTCAAAACATGTTCGACTTGTACTGCAATTGATTTCTGTGCAAATAACGCTAGTCTCCCTGACTTGAGCGGGGAAACACGAAAGGTAGAGACGGACCGAGTAGCTGTCGGGACCTTTTCTGGTGAGGGACTGTCTCCGGTGTTTCAGGAACGTGCCCCTTGGTCAATCATGGATGAAACCAACAAAGCCAGAGAGCACAAGAAGGCATAAGAAGGCTCAAGAGGAGCTCCGTTGCGGTCAGATTGCGCCACACGGCTCTGCAGAGAGGCTGCGTTGCGTCGACGCTCGTTTGTGTCTAGGTGTGTGAAAACAGGCGCGCGTAAAAGTCGCAATGCGTAAACGCTCGCATGTGTACCAGCTATGGTCCCACAGCTGCACGCACTGTGTCAGGATTACAGGCCTGCACGCGTTGCGTCGAAGCCGCAGTGACTCAGTGACCAACCCCCTTGTAAGGATAGTGCTGGAGGGGTGCGGCCGGTACTGCCAGGGATGGACGTCACGCTATGGTGGGTGTGCTCCACGATGCGGTAAGATTTCGCCACGCTAGGGTATAAGGCTGAGTCGAATGGTGTTCCGCGACGCGAGGGGTTTCTCCACAGGGCTTTGCAAAGAGGCTGTGTTGCATCGATGCTCGTTGGTGTCGAGCAATATGGTCTGTGAACGCAGTACGCGCTGTGTCAGGCTGCCGGGTGCGCACGCGTGGCATCGAAGCTGCATTGCGCGACCTCATTGCGCAGGGTTCGTGCTGTATTGCGCAACCTCATGGCCAGCGTCGTACTGCTGTGACTGTTAAGCGCATGACTTCACCTTATGTCCAGAATTTAGTAGTGCTGGCGACGAGGGGAGGGGACGGGGAGGGGAGTGGAGGGGAGGGGGGGGGGTCGAATCAATTGATTTATCAATCATTCATCACATGGGAGGGGAGGGTGGGGGTGTTAGACATTGATCTACCAATCTTTAGTCCCGAGCAAGCTCTCAAGCCAGTCCCTTTGCTTCGCAAAGCAAACTCAAGGTAGTCCTTACCAGGCTACCTTTCGTGACCTCAACATCAACAGTCCATCCATGCTTGGACTCCGAGGCGTGAAACATGAAGAAGGAACAGGAAGTTTCTGCTGCCCAAGCCCGGCCTGAACAACGGCCCTTGTCTCCAAACATGTTGCGCATGAGAAAACACCAGAACCCAGTCAACAGGGTACTTGGGTACTCTCTGCAACTCCTGTAACCGTCCATTCCTCTGCGTTGTCGCCTGGGGCGAGCCTGTAACAGCCTAGTCGAGAGAACCAATTTGTTTTCCCTTCCAAGGAGCATGTACTGTGGGCTTTTGTTGGTAGAGAGATGGATCGTCCGCCAGTAGTCCTGGCACACGTGATGAGAATGTTCACCACTGAACAATTAATTGGTGCATCAAAAATATGGGAGCAACATCTTTCGGTCGGTCAATACAATCGAGTGCACAAGAAAGGTAAGGACTTTGAGGAGGTCACTTCGAGGCCTACCAGCGCCACTGAAGCGTTGGCTTCGTGCCGCGAAGTCAATGTCCAGGCGCTGAGAGCACCAATAGCTACTAGGAACAAGTGCCACGCTAGTAGTAACAGGTGCCTTACTACTAGTAACAAGAAGCTACTAGTAACAAGTAGCTTCTTGGATTATGTTGTCCCTTCTTCCGAAGCTGTGAGGGAAGAGGCAGGAAGCGGGACCCAGAACCAAACCTGGCTGCGGGACCCCCACCGGCCGTGAACAAATGTCAGGATCGCCAGCACTTTACACTTTACACCTTTCAAACCGCACGGTCCACTCTAGTGCCAATGAGCCGCTAAGCCACAGAAACATGCTGACTTGTTCCCCTTCTGTAGCATTTCTCATTGCAACAAGGGGTGGCCCCTCAGCTGCTCTTGTTCACTAGCCACGGGACACGTGACACCTGTGAAACGGTGTGGCAGGATGAACTGCAGGACCCATTTTTCCGACGTTGAAACAACATTGAGTATACGCCCAATCCCTTTGGCAGTGTTGACGGCAGCTTCGTAAAAGCAAGCATGTTTGGACGCTACTAGGGGCTCCTGGACTCACTACTAGGAGCATTCTTGCTACTAGTAACAAGAAGCTACTAGTAACAGGTGCCTTACTAGCAGTAACAAGAAGCTAGTAGTAACAGGTGCCTTACTAGTAGTAACAAG